CAAGTACGTCTGTAGCCCTATTTGGACGGTAATTGTTTCTCAGGGGGACGTAAGTGATTTTCACCATTTACAGGGGGTAGTTAGTGATTTTCACCATTTACAGGGGGTAGTTAGTGATTTTCACCATTTACAGGGGGTAGTTAGTGATTTTCACCATTTACAGGGGGTAGTTAGTGATTTTCACCATTTTCAGGGGGTAGTTAGTGATTTTAATGGTCGTGTGGTAATTTAATTGCCATCTGAATCCACATCTCTTTAAGTTTACGAGAAGAAATCGATTCAAAATTCAGCGTTTAAACGCTTTTTGAGCACTCCCGAACACTGTAAGGTAACGTAGCCTACTTCAGTGTAATTTGCATACATATTTAGCCTATTTCTGAAATGCTGGAAAGTATTTAAAATAACAATACTTCATAACTGCTCCACCACAGCGACCGGGAACAGAAAGAGAAGAAAAGCACGTAAACATTCGAAATGGGTCTTTATTATGGCAGCAGTAGGTATGCAATACAATTTTAAAATGTGTATTATAAACATATATATATCGCGTATAATTATATACAACTATAGCGCCCCCCTCGGTCCGTTCATGATTGTGTTCCGGGGGGGGTCCCTTCGGACCGTTCGCCGCATGGCCCGGTGCGAACGCACTAGTTGCACCCCCCTAAGGATGGTCCAGCCTACGGAGGACTGTTCTTGTTGCCTAGCAACTGTGACAGCTGCCACTGACGAGCGGCAGTAACGTTTGTAAGTGGACTTTTTATATTTAACTGCATAAAACTAAACAGGGTTGAAAGCCTGTCCGTATTGTCCATTTATGTACATATTAATGAATAATAGAATAAACAACATAAAATCACATTTTGATAAGACAAAATTCAACATTTAACTTCTTTTTATTTTGTATTTCTTTCATATCATTACAATATTCAAGTATGTCCATACCCAATACTTACATATAAAGTGTAATTCAGTAATTAAGGACTTTGCCTCTGAATTGGGGTGGAGCAAACCAGTTTAATTTACCTGCATGGTCTTGGCTAAGCCTGAAATACTTACACTTACAGCATTACAATTTTTTCTCACATGGACATCTGTAAAAATAAATTTACATATCACCTCAGTGATAAAACTCATGGATTCGGTTGGCGATTTATTCACAGTGGAGAAGCGAGTTCTGTGATCCTACGCACCCGGGAACGCGCTGCTCACGTGGCCAATCACATGATTGTCTGCTGTAAATAAAATTAATTTTATTTACAGCAGACAATCATGTGATTGGCCACGTGAGCAGCGCGTTCCCGGGTGCGTAGGATCACAGAACTCGCTTCTCCACTGTGAATAAATCGCCAACCGAATCCATGAGTTTTATCACTGAGGTGATATGTAAATTTATTTTTACAGATGTCCATGTGAGAAAAAATTGTAATGCTGTAAGTGTAAGTATTTCAGGCTTAGCCAAGACCATGCAGGTAAATTAAACTGGTTTGCTCCACCCCAATTCAGAGGCAAAGTCCTTAATTACTGAATTACACTTTATATGTAAGTATTGGGTATGGACATACTTGAATATTGTAATGATATGAAAGAAATACAAAATAAAAAGAAGTTAAATGTTGAATTTTGTCTTATCAAAATGTGATTTTATGTTGTTTATTCTATTATTCATTAATATGTACATAAATGGACAATACGGACAGGCTTTCAACCCTGTTTAGTTTTATGCAGTTAAATATAAAAAGTCCACTTACAAACGTTACTGCCGCTCGTCAGTGGCAGCTGTCACAGTTGCTAGGCAACAAGAACAGTCCTCCGTAGGCTGGACCATCCTTAGGGGGGTGCAACTAGTGCGTTCGCACCGGGCCATGCGGCGAACGGTCCGAAGGGACCCCCCCCGGAACACAATCATGAACGGACCGAGGGGGGCCCCTCTCCCTACCTTGCACCGGGCCCCGCGTCAGCTAAGGACTGAAGGCTAGACCGGTTCGAGTCCTTCGGAAGCAGCCTTCGATATCGGACGCAGTTGTAGTTAGCAACTATCTGTTAATATTCTAGCAATAAACTTTGTTCGTTTCATTTGCAAAATAACAAAGTGGTGGATTGTAACGAAATGTCCCACCCTCCCTGCAAATCGCCATCCAAATCCACGCCTCCTGAACGCATGAACGCACACAGATCAGACGACCAGAGACAACATTACTACAATACATCATGTGTTCTTCACCGGTGAGAAAACTTTATAGCACAGTTAGTAAAAGTACTACAACACCAGGAAGGAAGGTCAGGTTGTTGATTTTTGCCTGCCATTCTCGCTCTTTTTTTTTTTTTTTTTTTTCCTCTCACAGGACAGCAACACTACAAAAACGTGGTCTTTTACAATATGATGCACTGTTGTACATATAAACTACCCAACAGTATATATAACATATTCAGTGCCCAACAGTATATATAACATATTCATAAGTAAAATGCAACATACACAGTAGTGCAGCAGTAATATTAAAGCAAGACCATTATTATATTATTTTTTCCCCCAGTCTGTTTTATGTGTTGTTAATTGAATTTTTATGTTGTTTTTCTGAGAAATTGAATTTAAGTTATTTTGTAATTAGTTGTAAAAAATATGTTTAGTATAGAACAATTTATTTTCATTTACAATTATGTTAAAAATGTATAGAATAATTTCTGTCATTTAGAAATTATAACTTGCTTAGCAAAAATTAACAATTTCCAGAACTACTACTTGCCGCTTATTTACAAGTTTCAACTTATAATAAAACATAAAACACTGCACAGACATTACTTTGTTTCATTTACAAATAACTTAAATTACAAAAGTAATGTACAGAACAACTTAATTCATTTCATTTTTAAGCTTCCCAGCAGCCCCATTTTTTCTCTAGAACTGTCCTAAAACAAGTTATCTATGCACAATCAGCTTGTAACACTCCAAAGAGAAAGGAAAACTTGAAATCGCATCATATGACCCCTTTAAGACTTATGAAAATTATTAAGACAGGTCTGCAATCTTAAGGTTAGAAAATATGACACAGCTGGACATCCATACAAAATACTCCAGAAATCATATTTCTGGATTATCAAGTTTGCCTAAAACATTTGCGGAAATATCTTGCATGACAGCACTACCAAAATAAATTAATTAATTAAAATAAAATAAAAATACAAGTGAAAGACTCATCTACTTAAGTAGCCTTATCTACTTCTTGTCTTATTGCTTTGGGCTTTATAGCATGAAGGATAATTGTTGTGTACACAGGAGGCCCTAGTGAAAATATTACAAATGGGCAATAGCTTACCTCCAAGCCACACGAGAAAACAAGAGTTTTTGTCCCCAGTAAAAAAATTATCATATTCAGCCCTCAATTTAATAAATACATTGTAAAATAAATATTGTTAATACATTTTTAAGAAAGAGCCCTGACTTTTAACATTTGCTTCGCTAGATATTTGAGTAAATTAAACACAATACTTACATTTATAAGTGTATTCGTCGGCCGCCACAGAACCATCACCTGCTATTTTGTTTGAATAAAAGTCTTGTCGTCACCAGCGCGCTGTGAATTCTGGGATAGGGTAGGCTGCGAAGGATCCATCTGTTGTATCCTCCATTTGCCCGCGAAACGGAGGGCGCATTTGAAGTCGCTTTCAAATTGCGGCAGCTTTTGTGGCATCACGGTGACACAATTGGCCTTCAAATGTGCCCTTCGAAGGATGTAGTCTTTGAATTGGGACGCAGCTAATGAGTGTTACAATTATGCTGATTGGATTAGAGCTGCTGAAAATCTAGGCAAATTCCTGTAATTGCTTACATTCTTTGCATACTTTGTCTTCTAAGGGTGGCCCCCTTAAAGTCTGTATAAAACTACAACTTTCACTGCTTCAGTCAGTCGTGATGTTAGATTCTTAATCAAGACTCTGCTAAAGATTCACAGTCTCCTGGTCTTTCGTCTGAGATTTTCCTATAGGTGTAATTGGAAATTGTAGGTATTTTATCTTAAAACTTTAACTTCGCTAATACATAAATATTCATAACTAGTGCTGTCAAGCGATTAATCGCATCCAAAATAAAGTTTTTTTTACATAATATACGTATGAAAGGTGTGTGCTTTTAATCATTTAAAGTGTTTAAATCAATACAAGTCCGTTAGAGAATTGTATATACATACGTGAAATGAAATGATTACAGAGTGTAACACTGTAATGCTTTACCTAGTGACATAATGCAGGTTATTCTCTGTGAGTACAAAAGGTGCGTCTAATTTCTCTCCCTATATCGTGAATCGGTTTATCATAAACACGAATTCAGTCAATTGATTCTTAAAATGATTCCGTGATTCGAGTCCGCACGCTGCTCAAAACAATGTAAATGCTATAATGACATTTAAAAATCAACTGCAAACGTGTCCATGCAAGTGAAATGTATTAAATATAACCTACAAATGAGTAAATACCCAATAGAAATCTTAATGAACCTTCTATATATTGTGTCCCTTTATTAATTTGAGTACTACATGAACTGTTCCCTCCTGGTGGAATGAGCTGCCCAAATCAATCCGATGTGTGTGTGTGTGAGTGAGTGAGTGAGTGAGTGAGTGAGTGAGTGAGTGAGTGAGTGAGTGAGTGAGTGAGTGAGTGAGTGAGTGAGTGTGTGTGAAGGTGTATATATATATATTTATATACACCTTGCTACGTGTACTGCGTTAGGCTAACCGAGACGTGTCATTAGCACTTATATATTGTTGCTCTATTGTTAGTTTTGACTGCTTTTATTGTCCTCATCTGTAAGTCGCTTTGGATAAAAGCGTCTGCTAAATGACTAAATGTAAATGTAAATACTAGGTTGTTGTTGTTTTGTTCTTCCAGGTCATTTAAGGCCATTAACTCTTACTCTGACTGACTCCCTTCCCAGTGCGCTGACTACTGAAATAGGGAGCTGATTGAGACACACCCAGAGATTTAGTTAGCATTTTTCTCTCTGATAATTATTCTCATCTTAAACAGGACAAAGTGTCCAAACACACCGAAAAACTCCTGGTGAAGCAGCTGAGATCCACGTGACATACTTTTATAAAGATGGCGTTTATTAAAGAGGAGAGTGAAGACATGACGATTGAAGAAGCGTTCAGAGTCAAACGAGAAGATATTGAGACACAAAGAAAGATGGTGTTTATTAAAGAGGAGAGTGAAGACAAGAAGATTGAAGAAACATTCAGAGTCAAACATGAAGATACTGAGGAACAAACAGGTTGGTTTTCATTCTCAAAGCTGAACTCAGTCATCTGATCCTTATTAAAATGTGCAGCTCTATAGAAATGAATGATATTTCAAAAGCTGTGATTCTCAACTGGTTTGTTCATGGGACCCACATTTCCACATCGTCATCAAGCTGTGACACAAAAATGGATGACCCACACTAGGGCTGCACGATTAATCGAATGCGATTGTCATGCACATTTTGTTAAAAAAGCCGGTTCTGTAATCGGCAGGAAAATCATCATCACATGCTTTCAGATGGAGCAGAATTTACTACACATAGCTGCAATAGGATGTTTGTTTCTTGATCGGTTTATTGATCTGGGATATGTATAGTCTTGTGTAGCCAGACCTTCTGATTGACGACAGAAGGTCTGGGAACTTTGGCTGCTTTGAATGGCCAAGGCTTGCCCAAGAGGCCATATGACTGACAGGTAAAGCAACCAATCACATTTCGTTTTGTGCCGTGTCACGTTTAGGGGTGTGGAAATGTCCCCACAATAACAGACCGGTGTGCAAAACTTAGACATATTTGAAAGATTCTATGCCGCAAACTTTAAATATTTCACGTACTTTTGAAAATCCAGTGTTTAGTTGATCCTGATAAACACTCGTCGCAGTTGTAAACATGACTGCTTTCTTCTTTCATGTAGAGGGTTTGGCATCAAGGTATCTTTGTTTCTAGGTGGAACATTAAAGAACGCGACACACATCTCCCGAAAATCCTGTATAATTCAATCAGTTTGATGAAGATTTGAAACTCCTGAAGTGTTTTAAATTTTGTGTGCAATATGTTTTTTACTTTAAACCGCATAAACACATTTCATTACACCAAATACACAAAATAATGTTCTTTTTAGCAGCATCATATGACCCCTTTAATTATTTTCTTTGCTACAACATGGGATTAATCAATACATGCTGAGGAACTTTTATCATAATATTTATATGTTTATATTTATGTTTATATTTATATGGAAACGAAATTGGATAACATTCAACCTGTTCTTTTTCATCAGTAGTATTATTTGTCGTTTGAATTTTGTGAACCGGAGTTTCTCTTTTGCTGTGTAATAAGCCCAGGGCTTCGGATGCTTTAACTTTCGAATTTGCGATATCGTCACGTTTTACAAGAGAAGATAATTGTTTGTTTTTCTTACATAAATCTATACACCTTTCACTTTTTAAGACTAAAACAAAAGATGGATTCATTGTTATTCTTAATTAAAAAGCACAACAACAACAAATCAGTAAGATACAATGACAAACTATCTTACAAAATGTTTATTAACAAAAACAAATAAGATTAGGCATGGCATACACCACATGCTGTATAATATACCAACTAATTGGCAAACACTGAGGAATCAAATAAAAACAATAAATAAAAGAAAGCTTCCATAGCATAACGTGAGGTAAACAGCAAAGATAACGAGCTTTTCAAAAAGAAAAGAAAATCTAAACTTGCTTTCGGTGACAGTGCTTGTATGTTTTTTTCCCTCAAAGAGTACCAACATGTTCACCTTCTCTGGTTTAAAGGGGTGGTTGATTGCGATTTCAGTTTTTTAACGTTAGTGTGTAATGTTGCTGTTTGATCATAAACAATATCTGCAAAGTTACTAAGCTGAAAGTTCGATGCAAACGGAGGTATCTTCTTTTTAAATTCTGGCAGTTTAATGCCTACAAAAACGTCTCGTAAGGGACTACAACGAGTTACTTCCCGGGTCCGTTACGTCAAGAACCCAGAATTTTACATAAACCCAGCCTCGGGGAACACGCAGCAAAGGGGGCGAGGCCATGCTGCGCTGCTTTAGAGAAGCGAAAACTAGAGGTGCACGTAAAAATCTATTCATATGTGAATCATGATTCTGTCTTCTAACGATTCTAATGGATTCACAAGTTTCAAAAT